TCGCACTTTTTCGCACCAATTTCTTTTCTCGACAAATTTGCAGTTATATTTTTGTGTGCTCGCATTTTCATTTTATTTTCTAACTATACATTGCTCCAGTTGTTTTTGTACACATTTTTGTTGTTGCCATTGAACCAGCATTGTATATTCCAATTTTATTTTTTATTTTCATTCAGTTTTTTCTTTTCTTCTTTTTCGCTTATTTATTTTTTTTATTGTTGTTATTGTTTGGTAGCAATTCCTTTTGATTTTATTTGCGTGTGGCAGCCGTGACACGCAGCACTTGCGGTCTGTCTGACGCGTGTGAAACGAATACACAAAAGCGGTCTGGCCTGGCCGTGCGGCATACGCCTGGCGGCAGCGGCAGCGGTCGCGGCTGCACACAGCAGTCGTCGAATCGAATCGAATCGAAATCGTTTCGCGACTCCACCGCGCAACAACAATCACACAATAATAACAACAACTACAATTGAAACGAGAAAGAAACGCGAAAAATGCGCGATTTGCACGATTGCCAGTGTGTTTGATTGCCAGCGTTGCTGTATGCGTGTGTTGCAAACCGTTAGCTGGTAGGTGGCATGCGCGCCACCAATAAACAACTATAAAAACAAAAATTGAGTGACTAAGCGCCGCGCAGATTTGAGTGAATGAAATGAGTGAGTTCGCCCGCGCCATTGGAATAAATGTTGGTCGTTTTTCTTTAACTTTAAATAAGGGTGTGGTGCGGGGGTGGTTAAAGCGTACAATAAATACTGTTACTAATGCTACTACTGCTACTGTATCTTTGTATGTGTGTGTTTTTGATACCTAGAACAATTGAAAATATATTTAACTGTGCTTTAGGTGCATGTAGCAACACCGACGGCGGGAATTTAAGCAAAATGTTGGGAATATTTTAGTGAAAACTAGATTTTATTTTTAATTTTCAAATTACGGCAAATTAAGGAAACATTTATACCTGCGAATTATAAAATATTTTCTCTGCTTAATTCACCTTTTTTACCGTTAAAATTTGAATTCCACATACATACATGTGTACATAAATACGTATGTATGTATATACAAATTATTAAAATTTAATATCTGAAAAATGTCATATCCTGCTTCATTGCAATTTTATACAAGTTTTAGGTTATGGTTTATTGCTATTAGCAAATTAATTTTTGAAATTTTTGAGATAGACCACTTCTTGGTGTTTGAACAATATTTTCTGTTCATAATGTATGAAATAAATGAATGCCTACCAGTAAAATTGAGAAAAACATTTTGTACCGATAAATTGTAATTGGTCCTTTAAGAGGCCCATTGTGCTTTCAGTGTGTCAGGTGCACACCTAATACGCAGTATGACCCGTATACACATATGATATTTAAACTAAGACGCGGTGTCACATAGTGGTGTACGCCAGGGTTGTGAATTTTTTAATTAAAAAATTTTGTGCTAAATATTAAATTCTTATTTTATATAATGTTGGGATTAAAAATTGGATTTTAATTTTTTAAATCCCGATATTGCGATTAAAAATATTTTTTTTTTGATTTGAATGAACGCGAAGAAATTTTAATTCGAAAATATATTATTTTTTAGTTTTTAATTATATGCTTGAGATAAAAAGAGATTAAACATTTTTTTTTCAATCCGATGATTTGAATTGCAAATCTTTTTTTATTTTAGTATATAGAAGTAAATTTTGTTTTTTCCAGTAGAAACCCGCAAATCCCGTATTTGGGATTACAAAACAAAACAAAATTTAGTGCAAATGTTTATACAATTTTGTTTTTAATGCATTATTTGCAACCCTTGTGTACACACACATATATGCATGTACCGAGAAAATACATACACAACATTTTTATCATCTTAACAGCAGTTTATTATATCCGATTCAAGAAGATGTGACCAAGGCGGCCGACGGCTAATTGGAATTTAAGTGGAATGACTTGCAAAACCAAAACTTATTTTTACTCTATTCGAAAAGATGATTCATAAATAGGTTTCTAGCATTTTTTTTACATCTACTCTGATTATCAAAATTATAATTAATTATTTCATATGCATAATAAAAAAAAAAACATATTTGATCTCTAAATAACACTTTTATTTGTGGAATATGTCATGATATTATTTGCCAAATGAAGTTCCTTGCCTCCTAAAGGTAGAGAAGTTTTATGATGAAAGAAGTGACCTCATCTTATAAATTGCGTTTTATATAAATTTAGATTAGTCATTCAAACCCCCAATCTATTAGGTAGTAATCACGTACTCTTAGCAATTTTTGGCGCTCGCCTTGTAAGAGGTTTTGAGTATTTCTTCTTTGATCCCTTTAAATACCGAAATTTTATTTTATTTTATTTTTGTTTGCTATAATTTAATTTTTGTTGTCAACCTGTACTGCTGACTAATTTTTATCTTGTTTTTACAAGCAAACAACTTGCTCGAATCTTTTTATGCTTTTGCCAAAACTCGGTTATATCTGATTTGTATACCATGAAGCTGCCACTATATATACGCCAGTCTATATATACGTCAACTAGTTAGTCGCTCATTTTTTGAGATGTTGATTTGAAATTTTGCACAGGTCTTTTTCTCCCCAAAAAGCTGTTCATTTATCGAAACCGTCAATATCGGACCACTATAGCTGCCATACAAACTGACCGATCAAAACCAAGTCCTTGTATGAAAAACTTTTTTATTTGTGAAGGGTAATATAGGTTCGCAAACGAAGTTAACGTTTTTTTAATTTGTATACATTTTGTATATAAAATCGCAGAATAAAGTTGATAAATCATAATTTATATTTTTTTATTTTATTATGCATTATTACTATATATATTATTTGTATCTTATAATTGCTTCTTACAGGAATTGTAAATTTGTTCAGAAAATTGTTTATTTAGACGTTTTCTAACAACAACATCGGATATGTGAAATAAACTCGTTTTTATTTAGACAATATAATATTGTTCACCAATGAATTACTAATAATATATGTTCATATGTATATGTTTATATATTTTTATATAGATATGTATGTATGTAGCAATGTGAAGAATGTTGCATTTTATCGTCATGATATATTTCCGTAGATATATAATTATATTTGTAATGGCATTTATTGTATAAAATAGCAATATTTACAGCTATTTTTCTTAGTTATATTTGTCTATACATATGTACATATATGCATGTACATATTGTATGTATGTATGTATGTGAATTGTTTAGTATCTTTGCGATAAAAAAATGCGATTTTCTCGAATTTATAACATCAAACATTTTTTTTTTTATTTCATTAATAAACTTAAATGTTTTCCCCAAATTTATCTTTTCTACTCTCGTTATAAAAATACATTATATTTTGTATATTTTACCGTTTGCATTAATTATATTCCATAACATGGATTACATTACGTTCAATTACTTGTTACATATTTATTTATTGCACTCTTTTACTTGTCGCCAATACAAACGAAATTTTGCGTGTTAATATTTTCCAATAATTTATTGTCACATTTAGCTTTGATACTGCACATTTACGCATTGTTATCTTTAATTATTACATTTGTTTATATTTTCGCTTGATTTCACTCCGCGTTTACGTGTTATTATTTTGTATTCATTTTTAATTTATCCTTATCACACGTTTTTTGCACTACTATTTACCGTCTAACACATTGCGTGCCAACGCATTAAGCGCAAGTGGAAAAAAATTACAAAAAAAACACGAAAAGCATCGAAACATATGACAATGCAATAATATGTAACAACACGCAACAACGCGTTACTGGACGCGAACGACAACCGCCGCCTCGAACAAAACAAAAAAGTGACCGCAAAACGACAGCGGCGTCAGTGACTGCAGCGGCAGCAACATATGCAACCGGCAAGCTTCCTTTTTGTTTTTTGAAACTTGCAACAAACAACAGCTAATCGACGGCCGATGAGCCGCTGGCATTGAGACGCACGATTTCTACAAACTTTAAAGCGGCACAAATGTGTGCTGGCTGTCGTTTCGATGCGCGCACTCACCGCATAAACAACACACGGACTCGTTAGCGTGACGCCAGCAAACAAACAAACGATCTGGTGCTGGCTAAACAGGCGAACAATACGAACTCTTCGAGAATCCAACAAGAACTGAGCAATTGGAAAAAACCAGTCCTGTGTGTTGGCCAAAAAAAAAACCAACGTAACCGAAAAACCGCGAGACAGAAAGTAGTGGCTAACAACAACAACAACAACAGCAGCTAACACAATTGAGTATTGGAAGTGTCGATTCCAGTGGCAGCGCGGCTTGAGTGGGTGTGCGCGAGCGCGTCTGCAAGGCAATGCGTTACTTCAGGCAGGACTCCAAAGCCTGGCTGAGTCATTTTGGTGTATATTTCCCATAGATCTATCAGGCGCCGCGTTCTCACTACGGTACAGCGATGGAGTGCAAATGGTTGGTAGAGTGCAATTAACTAGCGGATAGCAATCAACGTGTACACAAGTGAGATGGCAATGCGTTGAAACGCGCCTGAAGAGGCGTCAACGGCAAATACAACACTGTTCCGTTGCTCATTTCGTTTCGCGCGTAACATTATAGTCGCACTAAAGCAATCGACCAATTATGGAAGCTATTCTAGTGATGCTTATACAAGTGCGCTCTCTTACAAGTTTACGCTGGCGCTCAGCAGGTTACAAAACGCGCTCAGCAGGAAGTTTTCGAAAACAGAACTGTTATTCCGCTATCTCTTTCACACTTACTTTTTGCCAAGCGCCTCAATATATTCGCCACAAACAGCACGTGGGCGTGGCTTCCGCTTTGCTGCTGGCAGTAATGAACGGCTGCGGAAGTAACAGAAAACCAACAACAAAAGCTTTAGTAACAACAAAAAATCGGTATGTGATGTTGATATCGTTGAAGTCTGTTTTTCATGTATGGCCGCTACTTGCATTATTTTTGTTGATTACTTTTGTTTTTTCTGCATTCGCCGCACCGTCCGACTTATGCCCCGCCGGTCTACTAATTAATTACGGTGTAATTAAAAATTTTTCAAGCTTAACTTTTATTAGTTTATCTCGGCATTTGCATCTCGCTCGCAATAAATCACGCTTCAGTAGTTCGGCTGCAGTTGTTGTTAGTGGCATTTGTGGTGGTGGTAATGGCGGCGTGCACCAATGTCGGATACAGCGACGCTCTGACGACAGCCAACGGTTGAAAAGTAAATATTGATATTTCGTGTTATTTTTTCGTCTGCTTTGTCGTTTTGACATGAGTCCATGTTTGTATGTACATACAAATTTATGTTAGTATGTGCATTTATTTTGATGTTTTTCACTTTTTCCATGTTTCCTTTTGATAAAGTATGCGATTTATTGCACATTTAATGTAACTCAGCTCCTGCGACATGCCTCACCTCGTCATCCATTTGCTAGTTTAGCATGTAACAAATTTCAGATAGAACCATTTACAAGCGGCTTAAATATTTTGCAAAATGGAAGAGCGAAGCTGAAGCTTTAATTTGGATTATAAAAAAAATACATATGTATGTACATGCATACATATTTAGCTACATAACCTGTGAAGGGTATATTAAATTTTGACTTCCAAGTTTGCGCAGCACTTATGCGAGGTACGGTAACTAAACTTTATGAAAATCTTGAATAAGGGTTCATCGATCTTCATTGAAGTCTTACTGATGTCGATGGCATCCTTCCAGTAAAAGAAAACGGTTCGCCAACAATGTTGATTTCTTGCGGTGAGAATTATATGCTGCGTTTGCCACCGCAAAAGAATTATATTCGATTCAAGAAATACAATTTACTAATAAGATATAGGTAGATAGATATATCCAATATTATTTCTAACAGTACTGGGAAGGCATCTACGAGTCTTATCCTCATTAAACTATGTAATTTTAACATCCGAGGTGTACGAAGAACCTAACTTTGGGCCAATTATAGGCAAATTCACAATCCGCATCGAAATTTCTGGCTAACAGACTGGAACAAGATACATAATTATCTAAGGTTTATAACGTAAGAAGATGACTCAAAAGCTCTCATACAAATTAAATATGCTCTGGAGGTCAGTTACATGGTTTATTTTCTTATTTTTGGAATTATACCTATGTAGAGTCTTCGATATAAAGTCTCATAAATATTATACATACTTTTTTTTTAATTCAAAAGTTTTATTCCTTACCTCATCTTCACCTTTCTTAGTGTAATTAGTATTCTTTCCATTCAATAAATTTTAGTGTTTTCACTGCACTTCACTAATACCCGCTTAGCATATAAAAGCCCATTTGTATGTTATTGTAATCCTTTTTCCACAGTCTAAACTTTATATTATCAGATTTTTCGCTTGAAAGCATTTTGTGTACTACAATATACTCGAAGTTGCAGCTAGGGTGTTGGCTGAATTTATAATTAAAGATCTAACCATGCCTTTACATAACTACATATATGCATACGTATATGCCTTACCTGTTCTTGTAAACGGTACTCTGGATCAAAATGCGTGTATGTATTTGTTATTTCACATTAACTGAAAGTGTCGATTTGTCTTGTTCACACCAAGATTTCTATTAACGATAAACATTAATGCATATGATTACATATAAAGGAAGTTATTTGCCTAATTTGAAACTGATCCAGTGCTGATGATATGCCCTTATCGCTTATACATATTATGCATAATTAAGTAGATTTCTGCTTGTGGCAACAACATTCCAATTGAATACTATTAACATAATGAGATTATATTAAACATCCATATTCACCCTATATGAGAAAAGCGTGCATTTTTATTAATATAAGCAAATTTAATTAAACTAGGTATATTATTTTATGTGCATTCTTCCATAAAATGTATATGTAACATTTGTGAAGATTTCTATAAGCGGACATGTATATGATTATACAATCTCGTCTATAGCTACCGCTTAAAAAGTGTCGAGTTTATGCGAGAAAAAATTAGAAACAAAGATGCAGAACAAGAGAGGAAGTCTTTCCTTATATTATCGTATATTTCTTCCACTTTTCTTTTAATAATTTTACGTTACAAACGAAAAGCATTTTTGAAAATAATTAATTTAAATTAATACATTTTGGAAATGAGTTGCCACATTTCGAAAAAGTATAACGCAACAAAAAATATTAAAAAAGAAAAAAAAGTTTCGAGTAAATATTAGAGTAGGCTAGACATATGTGCATACAATAGTTTGCCACCTAATAAAATAAGTAAAACTGAAAAAAATATTGGAGTTAATATTTGGTTAGAGTTCAATCGAATATATAGATATATATCTGAAATCTTTGGTACACGTCTATTGATCCCCAAGAAGCGGCACATTTGTCAGAACCGCCGAAAACGGAGCACTATGGTATAAAGCTGCCATACAAACTGTTTGGTCAAAGTCAAGTCCTTGTTCTCAAATACAAGATATCTTCACGATATTTGGCACATGTTATAGTCTAAAACAGCGCTATAATCTCCAAATTTTTTTTTTAGATCGAACCACAATAGCATATAGCTGTCATAATAACTAACCGCTCAATATGAAGTCTTGTATGGAAAACTTTTTTGTTTTAAGAAACCATCTTCACGAGATTTAGCATAAATTATTGCCAAAAAATTGTTAAAAACTTGAAACATTGTTTAAATCGAACCACTATAGCATATAGCGCTATACAAATCGATCGATTAAAATCAGGATAAGGATCTTTTGTACCATTTTTTGCTCTAAGAAATGCACCTGTGAACGGTGCAGTCGTATGTAACATTTTTTGTTTGAAGGAAATTTTTACAATAATAACTCCCTCTCCACGATTTTGGCAATATATATATATATATTTATTTATACATACCTGTGTACATATATATAATAAGTATATACAAATTTCCACCATTTCTTGTTTCCTAGTGAATTATGTACCATACGGCTGTGCACAGCTTCTCTCCGCCAATCGTATTCCACATTAAACATTAAATGTCAGAGTTGTTTTTGAATTATGCGCTCAGAAACAGCGACAACAGCATGGCGCATCGGCTGTGTTGCTCCTGCTGGCAGTCATGGTACAAATAGTATGTGTACATAAATGTATACACATAAAGGCATACATACATATGTATATATGTACCAATATCAGACATACATATGTACAACCACATGCATCTGCTACGCTAAAGTGCTTCCAAAATTGTTGCCACATCGATGTGACTTTGGTATTGAACATGCATCCGTAGAACCTTATTCGCTTTTCCCTTAACTATTCGTCTGAGCCTCTTTTTTCGTTCTTTCACTTCTTCTTCCACTTTCCGGCATTATCGTAATTTTCTTTGTGCCCTTGTTGCATTACCAGATAAACATTTTTACAACTTTTTTTTCATAATATTTGTTGTTATTATTGTTGTTTGTGGTGTATGTCAATACATTTTTGCACGCAACTCTCATGAAGTTGCAACAACTGTCGCTGCTGTCGATGCTTTGCATTTATATGTGTGTGTGTAAGTGTAATATATTCGGCTTGCGGCATTGAACCATTTACATATAAATACTTGCGGCAAGGATTATGTACATACGATTTCTTCTTTGACTGTCCTAGTACTTAGGCGCTGGAAATTGAGAGGTTCGGTGTACAGGTTTTCGATACTAGCGCCTTGTAAAACCAAATATATCTAAAATAATCAAGTCATATACATATGTACATACAAATACAACATTTAAAAGGACTAACCTACATTTATGGTATATAAAGAAAGGTAATATATTTTTCAATTAAAAAAATTGCCGAAAAAGAGTACCATCTGTAAGAGAGTACCATTCACAAGAAATAAAGCCTACAATTTATAGGTGTGTGACCTTTGATATTGCACCGTATCTTAAACCCTAATTGTGGCAGAATTTTGAGAGGGGTTCATAGTCATTCAAGATTTGTTAAATTTCCGAAGGTTTTTTATATTTTTGCTGATCAAAAACTCGCTCCGGAGAACACTCTTTTAATCAAGAGAGACCATAAAAAACGTTAACCCGTAACGGTAAAGGGAAGCCATGCTTGCATCGAAGTCTAAAGTTGTATTAGTATTATAAAAATAATTTTTAAACGCCCATATCAAGTTTGGCGAGACAAGGATATCTGGTAATCCTATATGTAAAAGCATGACTTCCAACGAGACAAAAAAAATTTTTGATTACAGTAAAATTTTAATCAAAG